TAGACGTCTGCGTAGAATAAGCTGAAGGCGTAACATTCAGACCTTTCTGTCTGATATACATAAAATATGTATATAAATTATAGCCGATGTTTTATTCTGAGATATAAGCTATATTATGGTAAAGTTTCATTAAAATTTCAATAGTATTTGCGTGAAAGAGTAACAATCATCCATCCATACATACAAATTTTCGCGTTTATAATTTTAGTAAGGATTAATTTGACGTTCAATAAGAGCTTAAAGTAAGCCTTTGTTGAATAAATAAAGTGTAACTTTGACTTTGAATATTATTTAGTAATATGAAAATGCACCAACGGAGGTCAAACTTTTTGGGCCGCAATTTTCAGATTCTTTTTTTATTTCATATTATTTACTTATCCGTCTGCGGTTGTAAGCAATTTTTATTTCGTATATATATGGAAGAAATTTATCGACTGTGTCCAAAAATACGTTTTATTAGTGGCAGCAAGATATCCTCATTATGATTTTTTTTCGGGCTAGTCTCTGCACTTAAGATGAAAAATATGTTTCTTTTAAGTGAGAAGGTGGCAGTTCACCTGATGTTAAGTGACAACCGCTTCCATTGGCACTTGTAACAAATTATTATCAGAATATTTAAAAACTAGAGAGATGTCGATTTTGGTGACGAGACTGGTAATTTTTATAATGTGCAAGTCTTTGTGGTTATGATACAACCTAAAATATTTATTTTATTTTATTATTTATACTTTATTCTACACCAAGAAAATACATATATACAAAGCAAATTACAAATGAATGTAAAAGGAAGTACAGTAGGCGGTCTCATCGCTTAGAAAGCGATTTCTTCCAGACAACCATTGCGAAAAGAATTTTTGCTAATGAGACATAAAGAAGAGAGTGGAAGGAATTGCACATGAATCACTTATAAACACCGGATGAAGGCATTTATACATCAAAGGGATAGTCAAAGATTCACGGGCAAAATAAGAATAGGAAAAAGGAAAGCACGAGTTTAAAGTTCTAAGTAATGAGCTTTTACTAGGTTTTCAAAAGAAAGAAGAGACTGAAGAAGAAGAACTGAGAAATATGTGGTCGAAAAATGTATCTGCACATTTTACATATCACAATTATTTCCTGTTTCGCTCTTTTAAGTATTTTTACTGAAAATAATAAAAAAAGAATTTCATTTGAAAAGGTTGAGAGCCACTGGCTCACGGCATCCCCCCCACAGAAAATTCCAACCACAGCAGTCGGTTTTAATTGAAAACTAGCACATATCTTTTAACCTAAATATTCTACGGCATCGTTAACTCTATTGCCAACTGTATCTTCAATTGTGGCCAACCAAACATACCCAGAAGGGAAGACTTTGAAAGACGTTCCAACCTTAACGCCCGGTTTCTGAAACACCGATCATCGTACAAATTTACTAATCAGTTGTCAAATGTCATTTGTGTTGCCAAAACGATGGTTAAACTCTTTAAATTGAACATTGTGATCATTAAGATCACTCTGATCAATTCAGAGAGTTTAACCACCATTTGGGCAACTCAAATGGCGTTTGTAAAACCATTTGATAACTGATTAGTAAATTTGTACGATGATCAGTGTTTCAGAATCTATTTTCTGGTGTTTCATCTACAACGCGGCGTCCACGGTGACGACGGTCATACGCAGTATACGCGGCATTAAGTGATTGGAACTGCGCGTATAGCACGGTCAAATGCCAATCCCGTCTTAACAATAGATTATTTCGAATCGATCCGAAGAAGCGAGCATCATTGCCAATAACGGGATAAAGAGTCATAGACGCGCAAATATATGCCAATGTCACTTTTCCCGGGAAACGCGATGCGATTCGGCCTCGATGCAAAATCGTCGCGCATAATGCAAACGCGTCGACGATCCAACGCGATGGCATTATTAATAACTATCGAGACTCATAGTCGCAATAGAGTGCGATCCCCACTACTGGAAAAATATCGTGTGATGAACATAGTGTTTTTCTAGTGTCTGGTGTCTATACAGCGTGTCGTTACCATCGCGACAATAAATGAACACACGTCTAACGCTACTTGCCACTAATCATAAAAAAATATTAACGTAAAACAACATCCATAATTAAAAAAAAATATTTTTCAAACAAACAAATTAAGTAAAAAAGAAACAAAATTTGTAACATCCTATACAACTCGCGCCACAGCGTCGTATTACAAGCCTCTCCTTCTAACAGTATGTTTTGTCTCTTTTAAATTCATTCAACCCATTCATATGCTTTGTGACCTTTACAAATTAACTTTACGTTACGCTTTTATTGGTAAGGGTGTTCTAAAATTCTTTGTTTTGGAAAATTTAATAACTCTGTAAATATTGATGTTTAAAGAATTTAAATGTTTAATACAACTTTAAAAAGTTATCCCCTATATGTGTGTTAATTTATTGTCGCGATGGTAACGACACGCTGTATACAGGGAGTTTTTTTGAGAAGTACCCAAATTTACAAAGGAGGATCAGACTCGGCAGTATAATCGTTTATTGAAATAAAAAAAAGGTTTATTTTTCAAAAAAAAAATGCCATTCTATTCCCTAAATAACAGAACGTGTTGACAATGCGGTAGTCATTCATAATTACCTAAATTTTAGTGTGCACGAACTTGTGTGCGTGTTAGTTATGAATGATCGCGCGTAAAATAAATGAGTTGCGTATAAATCGCGCACTTTTTGAGATAAGTTCAAATGAATGTAATTAATTACTTAAGAGTGATTTTAAATATTTATCATTTTTATATAACATTATTTATGTCTAGAATTTAATAAAAAAATGGATACACTTAGAAAAGCCACCTTGTATTTATACTATGTGTTTATTTACAAGAGAAAAGTGTGTTTAAGTATGTTTATCAGTTACCTAGTACCCATAGTACAAGCGTTGCTTAGTTTGGGACTTTTATTTATATCTATATCTATACATTAATTAAATCCTTCAACTTATTAAATAAGGAAACAGAAATAGATATTTTTGATAATAATATATCTAGATTCACACATTCAATAAAATTGTACTTAAGTGCCAATAATCTTTTTATAAATTGTTAATTGTTAATATTTTTACAATTCAATTCATATTTCTTTTATTGTAACATATTTTTTTAGTAACGCACTTTATATACTGTTTATTTTTTTTTCTATTTTTAACTATATTTTAGTTTAATGTTTGTATTATTATAATGTTCATATTTCACCTTTTGTTTTGTAAAAGTTTTTTGGTTTACTGTCTACTGTCTGTCAAAAAGTAGTTTTTACCTATAATTAAGGTACCACTAATCAAGTTGGTGATAAATAAAAAAATAAATAAATGTATTTATATTTACAGCAACTTCTACATTTTTTTAATTCTTCTTTCTCTTGCCCTAATCCCAAACCTGGCCAGGCACACGTCCTTTATCGCCATTCTCCTTTCGCAGATAATGCTTCCCAGAGTCCATCTAAAGTTTTTCCGTCTACCTCTAGCCTTACACCCTCCATCACACTCATCATTCGACTTTCATATCTCTCTATGGCGTCTAGTCCGCCAATGCGCAGTGGGGCCGTGTGGTGGACTATGCCCTGATACCCTCTGTATAGAGGAGGCCTTTGCCCAGCAGTGGGACATGTATAGGCTGTTACTTTACTTTTTTTATATCATCTCTATTACGTGGCCGTAACCCGTAACACCCCCGTTTAATAATACAACAACATAAACCCCCGTTTCTCTGGCAATGACCCGTAATGTAGATATTTTGTGCTTTACTGAGACATGGCTCAATGTACATTTAGTATTAAAAATTATTCAGTAGCCAGTAAGTTCAACAGAGTAACTGCTATGGGAGGGGGATATCTTATCCTACATAAAAATACTTTTAAAGAAAGAAGTTCAAGTGAAATTTCGTGCCTTTAGGTCATCGGCCGCTTAGCGCAGTTGGTAAAGCGTCTGGGCGCGAAACCGGAGGACACAGGTTCCATTCCCGCAGTTTTTGTTCCTCTGTGTCAGATGCCAAGTTTGACTTTGCCGAGTGCGTATGTATTGTGCTGCGAGAGGTACGTGTACGTATGCTTATGGAGTAGTGCGCGTGAGCTCGTTATGTCTGCGTGGGTGTGTCTGTGTCATCCAAGCTGCGAAGCAAGGGTGTGCGCGCCAAATGTACTCAAAATGTCTAATATTCGTTCGCATGTTGAGTGTTTCTCGTCGTTGATGTGTCATAACGGTATGTGCGTGAAGTGTTCGTGTATTCAGTCAAGTGACGTGCCCGTGCGTGCGCGTTATGTGTATCCATATATATGCCTCTGTGAGCATGTGCATGTGTGTATGTGTACTAGGAGTCCGTGCCGCACGCAAAGTGTCCTTGTAGCGGTTGGTGGAACTGAACTGTGCGCGTGTGAGCTTATGTGAGTAGGCACGTATGGGTGCGATGGGTATGAGCGTGTCGGTGTCAGCGCGGACGCGTACGCTGCGAAAAGAGAGCTTGGCCGCCAAGTGTATCCATAAACAGCGTGTCGTTACCACCGCGACAATAAATGAACACGCGTATAGAGGATAAATTTTTAAAATTGTATTAAACATTTACATTCTTCAAACATCAATATTTACAGAGTTATTAAATTTTTCAAAACAAATAATTTTAGAACACCCTTACATATAAAACTGTAACGTAAAGTTCATTTGTAAAGGTTACAAAGCATATGAATGGGTTGAATGAAAATAAAAGAGACAAAACATATTGTTAGAAGGAGGGGTGTAATGCGACGCTGTGGCGCGAGTTGTATAGGATGTTACAAATTTTGTTTTTTTTTTACTTAATTAGTTTGTTTGAAAAATATTTTTTTTTAATTATGGACTTTGTTTAACGTTAATATTTTTTTATGATCATTGGCAAGTAGCGTTAGACGTGTGTTCATTTATTGTCGCGATGGTAACGACACGCTGTGGACGCTTATGTATGTGTGCGTGCGTGCGTGCGTGCGTGTGCGTGCGCACTGACCGTCCATGCTGCGCGAGGAGAGCTTGCGCGAGGAGAGCGTGCGCGCGAAGTGGGGCGGCGCGCGCTGCGGCGGCTGCGCGCGCGACTCGTAGTGCGTGCGCCCGCTGTAGCGGAAGCGCGAGCCCAGCCGCGGGAACAGCGCGCCGCGCGGCGCCGGCTCGGGGCTCGTCAGCCTGCCTCATAGTTTAAATTGTTTACAGTGCTAATCTTTGCGCTTAAGATTGAACATTAAAATATGTATGTTGTATGCTGGAAAGGATATAACAACAGATGCCGCCAAGCATTGCTTCAAATGCTAAGAAAACAATGTAGAAGAATGCGTTAAGATTTTCGTCGGTGTGGCAATCAGCCGTTTAGCTCAGTGGCTAGAGCGTCAGGCCGCGAATGCCGAAGACGTGGATTCGATTCCCACAACGGCGACGATCTTTTCGCACTTTTTCTACATATTTTAGCGTCATAGTTCTTTACCTCATCACGAATTCTAATCGACTAGAATTCTAAATTCAGACTTCGAATTATAGTCACTTAGTTATAATTTTAATGTAATATATTTATGGTAGAAAAAAATATGTTTTGATAAGAATTGCTTTTTTCGTCATCATTTCAGCCTGTCGAGTCCACTGCTGGACGATCCTGAGCCACCTGCGTCCATCGACTTTGCGCAGTATAGGACGGCCACACACTAGATGGAGTGACGACCTGTACAAATGTACGGGAAGTCGATGAAGAAACAAATAAATAAACGAATTACGATAACACTTTTTTTCACTGATAGTCTGTGTCCGTTAATGCTTTTAAAAATAGATTGATGACGTACCTATTCGTACGAAATGCTGTAAATAAATAATTTGATTTGATTTGAGCAATTGCCTCCTTCTAGAAGGTCCCGTGTGCCCACCTGAAGAAGGTGTGGTGCTCGACGCAGGTCTTCCAGAGCTTCTTGGCCGCGCGGTGGTTGGCCAGCTTGAAGCCGACCGTCGACTCGAACTGCTCGAACTCGCCGGGGCGAAGCTTCACGTAGAAGTTGTGCCGCTTGTAGCTGATCTTCAGGATCTTCGGCCACGCGAACCGGTTGATGCGCAACCTGGTGGTGGAAGCGTCAGTGAAGAGTCAGCGGGTCCATAGAAGGTCGGGGGTACGCCGTCGACTTTATGGACGGCACGGTCGTAGCCAGACTGGAGGGGAGGTACAAACCCCCACTCTAAATATTCAAAATATCACAAGGATATATAAATATTTTTGTTAATTTTGTTGTCAGTGTAATTCATATTTTATTTTTCCTTATATTTTAACCCTTCTCAGTGTTTTAACTATAATTATTAAATATCAATATTATTAACAAATCATTATGCATGATGTGGTACCTACTTATAAGAACATGTATCTCAAACCTGTATAATTTAGACTATATCGACTGTTACTGTAGGCGTTGGTAGTCCAATAAATAAATAAATTAATAAATAAATAAGAATATTTAATGACCAGGCCTGGGGGCTAAATTGGGGTCAAATTGAGTACTCAGACATTGTACAAAGTTGCCGCTTACTCTAGACGGCTAACTTTCTACTACTTACTATGTACAGTACGGTACAGTAACAGCCTATATATGTCCCACTGCTGGGCAAAGGTCTCCTCTGTACAGAGGGTATCAAGGCAAAGTCCACCACGCTACCCCACTGCGGATTGGCGGACTTCACATATATTCAAAATATTTTTTTTGGTATAATTTCGAACCATGCCGGTTTCCTCACGACGTTTTCCTTCACCGCCGAGCACGTGATAGATCATAAAATTAACAATTTCATAGGTGCCGGCACCGGGGGTCGAACTCGGCTCGATCGGGTTTTCAGTTCAATATACTCTATTGAACTGAAGGCGAGCACGGTGAGTTATCACGGCTCATTTGCTATGTGCATGGAAACGTAAGAAATTGATACAAGATGTAAAGTACTCTCGTGAGTACAAGGCACCATAATATAAGATGTGAAGTACTCTTGTGAGTACAAGGCATCTAATACAAGATGTGAAGTACTCTCATGAGTACAAGGCATCGTAATATAAGATGTGAAGTACTCTTGTGAGTACAAGGCATCTAATACAAGATGTGAAGTACTCTTGTGCTCAGGAATTGTAGAGAAGACTAGACGGGGAGACCGCTTACTTCTCCCTGTGCACCAGCAGCCCCGAGGAGCAGACGCCCAGCGTGATGTCCACGTTCTCCGAGTCCTTGGCCGGGTGCAGGTCCACGCCGTACATGGCCAGCTTCTTCGCGTTCTCCAGGTAGTTCAGCTCCGCCTCGGCGGGCGTCTGGCCGCTGCACCAGAGGTCACATCGTTACCAGGACGAGGTCAGGTCATTGGACCAAGTGCTTTGGCCGCTGCGCCAGAGTCAGGCGTAACGCGAGGTCAGGTCATTGGCCAAGTGGTTGGTGCTATCTGATAGTGGCTCGTCTTGAATGCCTTATGTGAGCACCCAGTCTAGAGCCCGAATGATGTAGTAAATATATTGAGACGGCCATTAATTATGTGGATTTTTCACCTATTCCTGCAACAGCGAACTGTTGCAGAAATAGGTAGGTCCGTCCGGGTATAAGGTATATACCACGACCTCACAGAAGACCGGCGTGAAGTAGAAGCGATACACTTCAGCGTTTCGTCTGGTGAGTGAGGCGGGCGGGGCCCACTTTATCGAAAGATGGCAAAGCATCTGGGCGTTGCAAACGTCCATGGGCGGCGGTTATCACTTAACATTAGGTGAACCGCCATCTCGCTTGCCGCCTGCTCACATTAAAAAAAACATATGAAAGCTTCTTGTTCGACAAAAGATACACTTCATCTCTATTTAGATTTGAAACCTCATCATCTAGTTTTCCATCTTTAAAGGAGAAGAATCTTAAACTTGTAATGTCACTTTGGCGCTTCTTGAACGCTGCGTAGAATAACGCCACTAGTCCACTGACCGGTGGGTCTTGTGCAGCTCGAGGACCTTCTCCTCCAGCTCCTGGGTGCAGGAGTTGGGCGGCACCAGCCGGAGCTGGCTGCAGAGCCCGGCGCCCACCTCCGACTCCTCGTAGTCGCCCAGCTCCGACTGCAGCAGGTAGCTGGCGAGAAGCGCGTGCGTCACCGCCGAGCACGGCAGCCGCCCTGCCGGAGCGATACACAGTTTTACCAAGTGTTCGTAAAAATACCCCCAAAGCAATGCAAAAACACACTAAAATCAGCAATAATTCTCGAGATTCACACCTTATACAGGGTAATTATATACAAGACGGATATATTAATAGAACATATGCCGATTTTGGTTCTAAATCGGAATCTTTTATGTATTTCCTTTAAAGTTTATTTTAAATTTTTTCAAACATTATGGACACCCTCTTACAAATTCCTGCCTTACCGTCTCAATATAATAAGGTATTCACGAGCACTAAAATTGTTCGCTGAACGCATAACTACTAAACCGCTTATCAATAGGGTGACCACTGTAAACGGGATGAACAAACAATGTTTGAATTGATATTTTTCTGGTTATTTCTTGTCAAAATAAAACATTAATATTTGTTTTGAATTATGGAATGATTAACATTATGTCAAAGTATGTGCTTCTTCTAAAATAACATGACGTCACCATAAAGCCTATCTAATCCCGTTGTACAAATCCTCTTGATTGTGTTCTACTTCTGAGTTGAGATCCATATTTTACCTTCCAGCAGGTCCCTCCTCACGGCTAGCACCAGCTGGTACCTGGTGAGTTCTTCTTGCAGCTGAGCTGGCTCCGGCGGGTAGAACTTCACCGCGAACCGAACGTCCCACGGCTCGCCTGGCGAAACAATAATCACTCTAAAATTAATTATTATATAATAAAATTATTACATATATTTTGAATCATCGCACTTTGTACAAAATTGATCTCTGTAATAATTGGCAATATTTTTTATTTAACAACTAAGCAACTCGCGTCGCACAAGAACATGTTACTACAACTCAAACAGCAATAACAGAAAACACCCGTGCGGTTACAGGTGCGTTGCCACCTTTCAATAAAGTGGGCCACGGCTACCTCACTCGCCAGACGAAAAACACGGAAGTGTAACACTTCCACTTCACGCGATCGTATGTGTGAGGTCGTGGTACTTACCCGAACGGACCTGCCCATTCGTGCAACAACGAAGACTGATGCATGTCCCCACTACTGTGCATTTCTACAAAAATAATCACTTACGTTTGATCATCTTCGACACCCGCTTCTCGAGGTCTATCCAGACACGCGGATCACCGCGGTCCTCGTAGAGTAGACCGAAATAGTCCTTCTCCACCAGGTTGAGGCTGTCGCACACCTTCGCCAGCAGCTCGTGGCCTCGGATCTTCCTCTGCAATCATTTTATGCCGCGCGTCAAATGTCTGTGCGACTAACCTTTATTGTATCAGGAGGACTTCTTCAAAAGATACCCATTTCCCGGGCGATGGTAGGATCGTGTGGGGCTCTTACCCACTAAACCCCTTCGGTGGCCAACTCCAAGATCTGTCCGGTACTTCTCCCCGGAACCAGATACCGCTTGGCGCACCCATAGACGAACCCCGTTGAACTGAGCTTGAGTACGCCTCTGGGAAGAAGATTAGTCCTTCCCAATTCCCTTAATACCTTGCGGCGGCACCTAACCACATCATGTTGCTGATTCCGCGTCCATTCAGGTGAACGACCGGATCCTCATCCTACTCCTCCATGAACCCTTTAACGGCCCGTTTCAATATTCTATCTACAGATAGATTTGGTAACTAGCGATAGGTATCAGACATTGGCTCCATAATACGTCAAAGTTCAATCTGTAGATGTAATATTGAAATCGGCAGTTAGCGTCTTACATGGAGCAGAGGATGACTGTGCCGTCCATTATGAGCGATGACTCGGTGGCGTTTCAAAAACTATTGACTTACCCGAAGGTCGTGGGTTCCATTCCCACACGGGACGTGTATTTGTTTGACCCTCAGAGAATTCTTCCGGATCTGGACGTTTGTTTCCCAAGGAGGGTTGACGTCAACAAGGTCGTGGAAAAACATAGTCAAAACCTCTTACACTATGATTCACATGTTGTGCCTACCCGACGTAGGTGGGATAAGGGTAGGAGGATGATGACTATCAGCGCGACTTTAGCCCAAATCATCACTACATAGTCTAAAACAAAATCGTCCCGCTGTCTATCTGTCCCTATGTATGCTTAGATCTTTAAAATTTTGATGATGCGGGTTTTTTTACTAGACAGAGTGATTCAAGATGAGGGTTTATATGTATAATACATTGCACCCGCGCGAAGCCGGAAAATCGAAGCGGGTATTGAATAAAAGTATGTTATCTGCTTACATCGACGTCCAACTCCATCTTGGAGCCGTCGAGGAGTTCCACGTTGACCCTCGTCGTGTTGCCGGCGGGCCGGCGGCGCGGCGACGCCTCCTTGACCTTGGCCTTCGACTTCCCGTCCTCCTTGCCATCCTTGCCATCCTTGGCCACGCCCTCCGGCATTTTGCCGCACTTCCTTCAGCACCTGAAATTGGAAAGACACATTTAAAACCAGGCATCCCAAAGAAATCGAGGGCCATCATTGAATGTTATAGGTTTTAATAATGTTATTAATTTTCTGATTGAAGTCGGTTTTTTTTGTTAAAAATCATACTTGTGTCTTTAAAATATTTACGGTTGGTCTACGTCATAGCACTTTGTGCAGTACTGGTCGTCTGGGACTCTTATAGCCTAGAACTTGACCACAATCCTACGGAAATGATGATGGTGATTTATTCGTATTGGTAAAACTGAGCCAAGGTTAATAGTAAGACGACATTGTTAAGTCATAGATACAGAAGATTTTGACGTGAAACTTGGACTTAGATTCCAAAGACGTATCTTCTTGTTTATGGTGTGATATAACATGTTAATCACTTACGCTTTGAAACCAAAAAATCAATCGAAAATTTTAATAATAGTTTACTTTTTGCGATTCAAACGCTTTTGCACCTTATACCCATTTGCAAGTACATCAATAACTACCATTAAAGAATAATGTAATTGCGTTACATTAAGCTGAAACACGACCAGCTATTGCGCAACCTATGTGTGTAAAAATAAAAGAGGATAATTAAAGTAATTTACGAATAACGGTTTTTAAAATGACACGAATACCATAATACTTAGTGTTATAAGTATTCCTACAGTTTCTATAGAGATGATTTAACCATAGAAGCAGCACAAAGCTCTTTAAAATCTGCTGGCATAAAAGCCAAGAGCAGAGTTGAAAACGAAAAAATCGGGTCGACCGTGGACCCTCGCGGAGGAGGCAGAGTGGGTGGTAATTAAACTCATTGCTCAATTTGCCTTGCGTTATAATCGCGACACGGCGCGACGGTGACCTGCCGAGAAGGCAATGGATCGGAAATAAAGACGCGCGTAGCGCCAATTTGACGGATATTAAACTAACGGTTTACGGATTGGGTCTGTCAAAACTAGGTTCGTTGACCTGGATTAATGGTGGTGATTCGATGTGAATTTGTGTTTTTTATAAGTTAAAAGAGGCAACTGAGCAAACAGTATACCTGACGATAAATGAGGACCGCTGTCAATTCACTCGCGGATGGTGCCGGACGTTAGTCTAACCAAGGTCTAACACAGTCCATGGCTATCGGGATCACGGTCCGCACCGATACCTCGATAGCCCGTAGGCGACACTCCTTAGCACATGTGTGGCCCTACCAACCGTGGAGGTCCTTAAACCCGTGGGTTCTGGCTAGCCCACCGATTCTGCGTTCGATGGTGCTTTAATAGTCGCGGAACTGAAAGCATTAACATCAGTTAATACAAGATACAAAAAGGTGCTAGACGGTGCGATTACGGTACGACTATGGGCCACCGGTTAGCTCACTCTATAAATACTTTAACGTCACATCGGTTTTCTGTGAGGCCGTGGCGATTCTCAAGTCACGCTGACCCATCTATTGCAGCAGGAAATGAGAGACGGTGTACGTAATTTTTGTATTTTTATTACCTTAGAACTCTGTGACTTTTGAATCAATTGATTTTTGTTTTGCTACCGGACATATGATTCCGGAGATACATTCAGGAAACTCTTCAAAATCAAACGGAAAATACAATGTGATATATTTGAATTGTGTATTGTTTTTTACACTAAAAATGTTTCACTAGTCTTCCAAATGACTTATCATATGCAACCATTTATTGAGGTGAGAGATAGCTATCAATGTTTTAACGACCTTATCAAATCCTTATTCATGCATCCAGCTCATTGATAAAACAAGATGTCAGAACTTGACTGCGATACCAAATGAACCGCAAATTGTGAAGGCAAGGCCAGAAATTTCTTGTATTGATAAAATGATAATATTTACTTCGCTTACTAAATGTATATCGCGATAGGCGTCACGAAGTGTGTGGTAGAAATAGATAGACTTCTTCCAATGCCAGTTTTGTAACATTAGATTTAGGCTGTCTGGACGAAACTTCTAGATTAGAAATAAGGCCGCCTATACTATTTCCTGTTGTTTTCTCCACTATGTTTCCTGTATTTTCCTTATGTGTATTCCCTTGTCTACAATAAAATATATGCCACTGTATTCTAGATTTGTCTGCGAGTATAAGGCTGATGAAAGATCGTTTATTATTTCCATTCTCAAGTTTTTAATTAAAGAAAACACTGCATGTGAAAATCGCGTCAGCTATAAACACTAACAGAATACCGTGGCACCGTGGGAACAACCTTGCTTCATTGTTAATGGCGTCGGGTTGGAAGCAGTACGCTTTGTTTACGTGCTGGCATTGTTTGCTGATATTAATCTCCGTTGGTTTGTCGCACCGCTTTTTGCCTCTGCAGGATCTGCCACTACGACATAGCACGATGTCATACCTTGCTTCTGTCTCCGAGCGCAGACTAGTTGCGGTACCGAGATGGCAATGTGAAAAACACTGCAGTTTTCGAATCATTTTCCTCCCCCATAAAGCGGGTCCCAATCATGTGACGTAGAAGCTAATGAAATTTGATGACTCCGTGGCGCAGTTGCCAAGATATTGGCTTCGGCGTCGGGGGTCGTAGGTTCGATTCTCACACGGGACAACTATTTGTGTGACCCACATATAGTTGTTTCGCATCTGGGTGTTTATCCGCGTGAAATTTATGTTTGTAAAATGACCTTACAACACAGGTTAATGTTATCCTAAAATGAAGGCAATGTTTTTATTTAAAAAAAATCTCTCATCTTATTTAACATAGTCAAGGGTATGTCATTTAAAGTTTACTTGTATAGGGCCCTACTCTTAATAGAGATAATGGGCGAGAGGAAATTTGCAAGATATCAGCGTCGCATGTGCACTGACGTCACGACTCCGCCCGTAGAGATGCACAAGTCTAGTGGACCGAGCTAATGAGCCCAGCCGAAAAGGCGGACCGCAATCGAATAGGAAAACGTTTAAAGGGCACGTTTGAATGCACCCAAGTTGTTTATCACGGGGAAGGAAACGTGAACAAGGATTGACTTCAGAATTATTCAACGAGCAACGGATGAAATATGTAAATTAAGCTTTATTCGTGACAATTTTTTCGAAGGAAAACCAAGGTTATTTTAAAGGAGCGAGGACAATTGGTCTACGACCTTTTTTTAGTGACATTACGTCGTAACTTTGCCTAACCAACTAAGAGGTCGGCTCGCTGTTAGCTAAAATCGGTGCTATATCTGATTATAATGTAACGTCGATATTCACCGGAAGCCACGCATTTAATAGAAAGTGTAATTCACTTAAATATCACTGAAATTAGTTATATGCACTATAACCTATTGATTTAATTAACACGGGACAACTATTTGTGTGACCCACATATAGTTGTTTCGCATCTGGGTGTTTGTCCGCGTGAAATTTATGTTTGTAAAACGTCCTTACAACACAGGATAATGTTATCCTAAAGTAAGGGCAATGCTTTTTAAAAAAGATTAGATGAAAAAGATTAATTATTACTGTGACGATGTTGTCACTTCCTAAAAAAAAATATTCGTTAATACATAAGTATGATAAGTTCATTTCCCGCCTGTCTTCTGTGAAACCGTGGTACTTTCCCGAGCGAGCCCCATACAACAGCAAACGCTGCCGCGTAAGCCTACCACAGTATAACCCAGCACGCATATTCATTAACCGTTTCATTTTATTCTTCCAACAATAACTTTTTTCAAAACTACATTGTTCCGCTTATTCGTGTTCAAAGAACGGCCCTTACCGTGCCTCCAATGCGAAGTGAAGATTAATACAATGGCATTCTTTCGTGCGCGAGTCGACATTTTCACGTTTTCTAGGTCAATTGCTCGCAGCGCAAGTTTGTTGCCTCGAATTCGTGCCTCGATTAATCTCTAGGAGATACAGCTCAGCTAATGGCTTACACAAACATTACACCAATCAAAGTAACATAGAAAGAACAGTATGATAAGCCCAACTACAAAAATCGTAAATCACAAACAGATAACGAAATCTTAACGTAACTCGCACGCTTCATTAGACAAAGAAAGTAAGTGAGTAATTATAAAAAAAGAATATTAATTTTTTGACTCATTAAATGATCCTTATAAGGGGAAGAGCGGCTCCTATTTTAATTATCCAAATTTGTAACTATCCCAACTTTTACCCTTCCAATTTTTAAACGACATCATTAAGATGTCACGATTGTAAGTAAATCGCACCGGTATTGTAGCAAAACAGCAAAACATCCCAACACCATACCAACATCAAATTCATCCAATCAACTTAACAATTGATTATCAATGGCAATATGTATCACAACCGGCTATTGAGGGACTACGGTTAATTTTTGACGATGTACTGCTTACGTGAAATACGCTGGTTATAATATGTTTAGCCTTCATTGGGTGTGTTGCACGCAACAGCTGTTTCGTTTGCAAGAATGAAGGAATCAATCATCAAAGTGGATTTAGGCCTTTGCATTTCCTCAGCTGAGTGAGCACAGATGTTGTTATGTCAATTCAAGAGGACAGTCGACTTATTTTACTTAACCATCATCTCAAATTAAAATACCCAAACACGTGCAGTGCTCGGCTAAGTTATCGTCTGCTCCCATAAAAAATGCTTACTTAGTAGTTTCAACTTGCCTAGCTAATCGAGGCTAAGCTTACAAATGCGAAGTAGCAACGGTCCAGATTTGTAGGGTCCGTTGTTGGCTCTGGCCTTTTGCCTAAGGGGTCCTCATAGACCTCTCGGGCAGGCCACGTGACCCGGCCGGCGTCTGTAGCCCGCTAATTCGCGTCAATTGACGCCCGGGCCAGGAGTCAGGGATGGAGCGCCGCAACGCGACTCTGTCACTGCTATTTTTGAAATCTGACCTCAGATGCCGAGATGTTACTAATGCGAGGCCGACATCTGATCTGCTCATAAATATGTTTTATATACGAGTGTTGATAAAAGAATCTTTGATATGAGATATAGGACGAGCGATCGACATATTTGGGCTCTCCAAATAT